TACAAATTTATTAAAGCTGTATTTATTGTACCTTTTCATCATTTATTTATATAAAAAAATAAAAATTGATTTTAATTTTATTAACTATTAAATTAAAGAATTTTACATGACATTAAAGTTGAAAATAAAGTTTATTTTTATAATTTTTCATATAAATTAATGATAAAAAAATTCATCCGAATTGTACTCTTAAAACTCAAGTTAAAAGTGCATTAATTATACATTTTTATATTTAATTTATATAAAAATGAACAAAGATTAATCTTATATTTCTTATCAATGTTACATATATATTTTTAATTAGATAATTGATAAAATTAAAATTTACTTTTTAATATATATCTTAAAAAGCATATATTAAAAACTTTTATAATAAAAATTTACAATAAATATATCTTTAAACCACGAGTTAGAAGAAAAATCCGTATAAATATCCCCAAAACAAGTACTACTTCTAATGTAATTACCGTTAATGGACAAGGGAGGATGTGTTACATCAATTTTTTTTTTAATGGAAATGTGTTATATCAAAATTGAGGAAGGAAATATCTGCTAAAAGCATAGAATTTTCTTTGATGACATTTTCTAGGAGAAGGATAAGATATATATATTTTTTATTTTGACTATACAATTGGAAGCAACCCTTTTTTATTTTTTATTTCATTCCACTCGTATGTTATAAGATTTGAATTCAAAATTTTTTATTTTAAAAAAAATTAATCACTTAATTAATTATTTAAATAATTAGTAACAAAAGGATTAGAATGCCACATTAAGTAATTGAATTTTTTTTTTTTTTTGTGTGGTTTCCAGAAGAAAGTAGGGGGGGCGGGGGCGTGGGCTACAACGTTAATATTGTCCGCACAAGTAAGGCCACCCATAAAAGCAGATGAACAAGGCTTCAACAACTCCAACCACCAACATTTACACTCCCTTTGAAAAATTTTGTCCCTCGCTACCTTCCTAACCATCCATTCGTCCTTTACCAAAAATATCCAAACACAAAATAGTCAATTTAATTAATACCAGAAAAGTTATTGATGATGGAGGTGAATTACTATAAATTGTGATCTTTAATTACGAAGTTAAAATTTGAAAAGGAAATAAGATAATGCTCATTAATTTTTTTTGGATAGAAAATAATGCACATTAATAAAAACAACAGTTGAGACAATTTTTTTATGCTGTGATGGAGTACTTAAGAGGAAGTTACGAATCAAAGCAAGCCGATGTAAAATCATTTAAAAAAACTGTTTAACAAATAGAGTAATAATATATATAGAATAAAAAACAAATAAAAAGTAACTTTCGATCAAAAAAATTAAATTTATTAATAAATAAATTATATTTATAAATCAGACTTAGAGTTTAAATCTTAAAATTATTTTTTAAAAGTATTTAAATTAATTTTATATGTCATATTAATCTGAATGTATGCTCCTAATATTGTTTGAAACCCCAAATAACTAGAGTAGAGATTAGTATTTATAAGTTAGATTTACAAAAAATTAAATAATTTTTTTTAAAAATTATGTTATTTTAATAAAATAAAATAAAAAACTAAAATAATATCATTTTTATTTTAAAAGATAAGTAATTTAAGTTTTTTTAATAAAATAATATTAAAATATTTTTTTTACCTATTTTATACATGTTCAATTAATAAACATTTTTCGAAAACTAGATGAAGAATACAATGACCATAAAAGAAAAACAAAACAAAAAAATTAATTTGGTCATGAAATATGGGTCCTTCATCCTTGTCACGTATTAACTGCACCATGTGGCTTTAAATACATTCTTAAATAAGAAAAAGAAAAAAAAAAAAAAAAGAGTAAAATTATTGCTTCCAATAAATATGTTCACAGCAAAAAAGTTAGTGGGGATCCGTGAAAAAAAAAATTTAAGGGCCTATTTTTTTTATCTGCAAAACTTAGGGGTATATTAGTCTCTCCAACAAAACAACCCGCCATAATACAAACCTCTTTTTGTAATTTTTCCCTTTCAACCCACACCCTCCACATTTAAAACACAACGTTCACTCCCCCATGCCCCTTCAGCTCCTTTGCTTCAGAGCACCGATAAGAATCCGTATTGAGGTAGTCAAGTTCCGGGAGGTTTACCGATTGGGGAAAAAAAGGATGTCGACGACGAAATCGAGCCGGAAATTCCCGTCGATAACGGAATGTGGAGGTTCCAGATACGAGTCGATTGCCGCCGATCTAGACGGTACTCTGCTCTTGTCCAGGAGCTCAGTCCCGTACTTCATGCTCGTAGCGATGGAAGCCGGTAGCCTCTTTCGCGGCCTTGTCCTCCTTCTCTCTCTGCCATTGGTTATTGTTTCTTATCTCTTCATTTCTGAAGCGATCGGAATCCAAATCCTCATTTTCATCTCCTTCGCCGGTCTCAAAATCCGTGACATCGAGCTGGCCGCACGCGCTGTTCTTCCGAGGTATTCATCACAGTCAAATTTGAACCTTATATAGCATCTTTTCTATTTAAATTAGAAAGATTTGAGTTTTAATTTTGGATTAATTATTTGATCTCTTGATATAGGTTTTATGCTGCGGATGTAAGGAAGGAAAGCTTCGAGGTGTTCGACAGGTGCAAGAGGAAGGTGGTGGTGACGGCGAATCCGACGCTGATGGTGGAGCCGTTTGTGAAGGATTTTCTCGGCGGAGATAAGGTTTTGGGCACGGAGATTGAAGTAAATCCCAAGACGAAGAGGGCCACCGGTTTTGTAAAGAAGCCTGGCGTTTTAGTGGGAAAATGGAAGAGATTATCCATTTTGAAGGAGTTTGGAGACGAATCACCTGATCTTGGTATCGGAGATCGCGAATCCGATCACGATTTCATGTCAGTTTGCAAGGTCCGTACACTTTCTCAACGCAAATTACTCTGTTTTATCCCTAATTTAACCACGACATAAGCTTATGCATTACCAAGAGAATTAACTGATTCAAACATACTTGACGTAGTGAACTTTGATTTATTTGCATTATTTTATAGTCGTATATTTATGGTTGGCCTAACTTCGTTTTCATATATATTTCTTGTTGCTTAATTTCTGTAATTTATAATCTAGATGAACCGAATTGTTTCTATTCCATTATTTCCGTAATTTGTTGTTGTTGACTTTGAAAACTTGAAAAATCTATGGATCGGTTGAGAAACATTGGACTGGAAACAGTTCTTGGAGTTGTAAAAATTACGTAGCAATGTCGGCTGACTGCCAGCTAAACGCGGTGGTCCACGGTGGTAGATGAACCTCCAATCTCAATATCTAACTTAGTAACTAACTCCATGGATTGGAAATAAATGCATGATTTGACAATTACGGTGTTGAAAACAGGAAGGTTATATGGTACTCCCCAGCAAGTCAGCAGCTCGTGTGTCGCCTAATCTCCTAAAGAACCGCATCATCTTCCACGACGGTCGTCTGGTGCAGCGGCCGACCCCACTCAATGCACTGATGACCTACATCTGGCTGCCATTTGGCTTCATCTTGTCCATCATTCGTGTGTACTTCAATCTCCCCTTGCCCGAGCGTATCGTGCGTTACACATATGAAATGCTCGGTATCCACCTCGTGATCCGCGGCCACCGCCCTCCCCCACCGTCTCCCGGCACACCTGGCAATCTCTACGTCTGCAATCACCGTACAGCCCTTGATCCGATCGTGATCGCCATCGCGCTCGGACGGAAAGTATCTTGTGTCACATACAGCGTTAGCCGTCTCTCGAGATTCTTATCTCCAATCCCAGCCATTGCTTTGACTCGTGATCGTGTAGCTGATGCTGCCCGTATATCAGAACTGCTACAGAAAGGTGATCTGGTTGTGTGTCCGGAGGGAACTACTTGTCGCGAGGAGTTCCTGCTGCGATTCAGTGCTCTGTTCGCGGAAATGAGCGATAGGATTGTTCCCGTGGCGGTTAATTGCAAGCAGAACATGTTTTATGGCACGACCGTACGTGGGGTCAAGTTCTGGGATCCCTATTTCTTCTTCATGAATCCTAGGCCAACATACGAGGTCACTTTCCTCAATCGTCTGCCGGAAGATATGACATGTAAGGCAGGAGGAAAATCGGCAATCGAAGTGGCCAATTACGTGCAGAAGATGTTGGGTGACGTGTTGGGGTTCGAGTGCACTGGATTGACAAGGAAAGATAAGTACCTGTTGCTAGGAGGAAACGATGGCAAGGTGGAATCAATGTACAATGGCAAGAAATGAAGGTGGCATGGCATGGATGCGGCACTTGGTTTGGTTTCTTTCGTGTGATTAAAGTCATTTTAGAAGAGAAGTTAGTCATGTAAACGACAAAAAGGTTCAAAATGTCTAGATAATTTGTCAAAGATGCTGGTTCTTCGGGTTTTATTCTTTGACAGACTTACTGATTATTACTGTACTGAATTATTGATCTATTGTGAAACAAACTACCTTATTTATAAATAGAGCTAAATCTCCTGTTATGTGTTATTCCACTAGAGAATACTATCAAAAACCCACTTTTAATCTCCTCTATTAAACATAAATGGTTGATTAATTTAGGTATAGTTGTATGAATCTCAACAAGAATTGAATAGGAAAAAATCAATGGATTGCAAATGAGTCAAGTAAGATCATCTAAATAAATGGTTTTATGGCAGGAAGTCTTCAGAGGGTGGAAGATGGGTGGAAATATCAGCAAGTCTTTGATTTGATAGTTGCCAAAGGAGGGAGGGTGATGAATGGATAGGGATTGACCTAGGGTTTGTGGGGAATTTGAAGAAGGCTCTGGGAATTTGAAGGAGGTTGTGCTTCCATGTTTTGTTTTGTTTTTTTTTTTCGAATATGGGAGAATTTTTGAAGAAAGGAAGATTTTTTTAAGTTATTGGTGAAGGTTGAACTTTTTTTATTAATTAAATTTAAATATTAAAATTTAAGAATGATTTATTAAATCTAAAAACTTAATTCATTGTTTTTTTTGTTGGTGTCTTTGTTTATGAAAAAAAATAATCGAGCAATTCAGACAAAAAATTTACATGTTTTTTATTAACGAAAGAATAAGTTCTCGAAAAATTATTGGGGAGTTGTTTTTCAAAATATTCTTTATTGAATGGAATTGTTTTTTATTGGCTTATTTTTTAAGTGATTAATAAATATTAAAAAAATACGAAAAATAATTTTCAAAAATCATGTTCTAACTACCCGAGCAGACCCCTAATTTAGAATGAGACAAATGGTTTGGCCCCTCGTAATCTTCAAACAGAGTACAAGGATTGAATTGACAAATTTGAAAGCATATTGAAGAGTCCAATTGTTTTCCCCACTTAAGAGTAGTTCAGCGTGAGGATAAATTATTAAATGATTGGTTTGAGTAAAAAAAAATTAAAATTTTTAAATAAAATTTTAAATTTAAATTTTATAAATATAGAACTTAAGATAATTTTTTATTTTATATAATTTCATACAACATATTTTAAATTAATTAGAATTCATTTAATTTTAAATTAATTAAAATTTAATATAATTTTTAAAAATCGAAAAAATTAGTAAAAAAATATTTCTCAGGTGATTTATAAAGAAAGTTGAAAAATAGCGGAAAAAAAAAAAACCTGCGTACGCGCTTCATCCCGGTCCAGCACTTTTCGAAGGCTGGTTTGTCTGACCCAAATTGATTCCCCTTGAAATTCCTAAAAACACCCTTTTGCACTAGATATTCACCGTGATTTCCAAATCCTGTAGGGGCATTTACATCATTGCGGTTCGTCTCTATGAAGGGCCGTCTCTAGATGCCATGTCGATATGCCACGTGTTGTATTCTCGACCATCCTTTGCTGGTCATATGAAGACCACTGGGATTTTTCCCGCTTCGAAAAAAAAAAAAGAAAAAATTTTATATTCTCAACAATTTTCTATCAATCAAATAAAACCCTCAGGTTTATCCTCTTCCTCAGTGGAGTACGGGACTCTGCATTGAGGAAGCCGGAAACCGTCGACGTGCTCGAGGATTTCAGTTCTCTACCTCCCGTCTTCTACAGAAATGGTGTAAGTAGCTCGTGGCGCTTCAGTCTTCAGAAGATTAAGTTCACTTGCAGCAATGGCTATCGGCGGTTTGATTTCGCATCGAAATTTCGGTTCGTTTGTCGGCTCAGGTATAGTTTCGCTGCTTTGATTCAAATGCAATTTTCTAGAAATTGAATTGAAGTTTATTCTTCTTTTTTTTTTTTTCTGGTTATAATTTCTTGAGCAAAATAGTAGCTGCATATTGTGAATTCTTCTTCTGTTTTCATATGGATTTTCTGCGATTGATTTAGTGTTTGGCTTCATCTTTTTCTTTGTTTTTATCATTTTTTTAAAAAAATAAGTTTCGGGAACTTGAGCTTTCGTTTCTAGTGGTTAAGAGCTGATTAGATTCTTCGAAATCGCAAATTTTACCGAATTGTGCTAGGGATATGGCTATCGGTTGCATGCAGTTTGTTAAATAATTTCATTTCCAATTTTAAAGAATTTGATTATGTCAGAGTTTTCTGTTAATTTTTTCTTCGAATAATCTATACAAAAATTTAATCTGCTCGCTGAATTCAATGGTTGAATTCAAAACGAGAATGATTCTTCAGGAGGCAACTTCGCAGTTTATCTTTCTGAGGCTCGCGATCTATTTGTAGAGAAAACAGAGTTGAACAAAAAACTTTAAGCTGAATGTTCTTTGAGGAATTAAATCAAACACCTGCTGTGCATAAACAATTTTAGCAAGTGAAAGAAATTGAAAGACAGTAAACTGAAGCCAATTTGGAAGAGGAAAAATACTACTGAATATTTCACATTCAACAGATAAAAGACACATACAAATAATCAGAACTGTGCAACTGAAATTAACGATAAAATAGCACCACTAAGCCACCAAAGCCACTAAACTACAAATAAGATATGCACTGCTAAAAATAAGAAACTCAACTGCAGGTACCCAACAAATTCCTAAAGAATAGGACAATAAAAACAGATAATGAAAGACTTATTCAACACTATTTGACTATCATTTTGCTAGTTTTGAAGAGACTTAAGGATGCTTGCAGTTTTGAGTGTGCTTTCATGGATCTGGGATTGGTCTAAGACTCTCAGCAAAGTAAAATAAAACAAAAATCTCGATTAGTTTTACTTTAGAGAATCCGCCTGCTCATGGTAGCTCTAACTCCTCTTTGTGGAAAGTGTAGTGCGTCGGCACATGTCGTTTCTTGTTTGGACTTCTAATTAACAAGAGCAGTCTTTTGTTTGCAGATTTGGTTAATTTTATAACAATAAAATTTAGATTTATTGCAATACATAATTAATGATTTTAATCATAGAAATTCGGAATTTTTATACATTGATTTTGTTAATTTTGGAGAACTATTTTTAGTTACTTTCTGAATTGGGCAGGGAAAGTGTGTCAAGCTGAGCTTGCCATCTCACATCACAGGGGAGAGCAATCAGCCCTTGCTTTTGCAAGATATGTTCGGGGGACTGTGTTCTATCAAAAGTTTCATAGTCGAATGGCAAATAGTTTTATTGCTCCAAACTCATCGAGCTCATTTACTTGTGCTACCATTAAAGCAACTTCTTATCACTGGAGGGACCATCCAGTTTCAGTCTTCCTGCACTCAGGTCAAAGGCCTCACGCTCGTTCTCAGCGTGGAAGTAAAGGAAGATGTGGTTGCTATCTTGCTTCAGACCCTTCACTAGGTAGTTGGTTTCAACTGAGAGATAAGGTTAAGATTGGTACAGGAAATGGGCAATGCAAGAAATATGAATATGTTAAGGTAAACAGAACTCGTGCTTACTATAAATCTGAAGAGGATGATGTAACAGAAGCAGAGGTGGCTTCACTTGCATCATCAGATGGGCCAAATGAGGCAGTTCTGTTTGAGGGAAATGTGGAGGAAACAACCCCGTGGTGGGAGAGTTTTCCAAAGCGTTGGGTTGTAGTATTGCTTTGTTTTTCAGCCTTTCTGTTGTGCAACATGGATCGTGTAAGCAACTTTCTTCTTTATTTTTATAACCATGGATTTAATTTTTGCAGACTTATGATGCATCATTTACATGCAATGGATAATTTTTCTTTGCATTTATAGTTGAAGTTGTTGCCAAGTACCTTGACTGCATTTAGAAATTGTAAATCATAAGCTAAATTTTATCTCCACATGCTGTTAATGAAAATGCTTCAGTATTGTTCAATATTGGTCTTGTAATACTTTACATACCTGCTGATCAAACTGCTTGTTTAATAGCTAGCTGACTTAAATTCTTTTTGTAGGTCAATATGAGCATTGCAATCCTTCCAATGTCACAACAATTTAACTGGAACAGTGCAACAGTTGGTTTAATTCAGTCCTCCTTTTTCTGGGGATATTTGCTTACTCAGGTCTGGTTGAATTGATCAGAATAATTACAAAACTTGAAGTGGTTTTGATCTTATCTGCATATAAGTGCATCAACATGCAAGTTGATCTAGCTCCTGTAACTAACACATTTGGTTGCTGCTAATCCACCATGTGTTGTCTTCAGGTTAGAATTGGATTAATCTAACCTCTACTTCTGTTTTCTTTTGGCACATAGATCCTTGGAGGCATATGGGCAGATAAATTTGGTGGAAAGCTGGTACTGGGTTTTGGAGTTGTCTGGTGGTCAATAGCTACAGTTCTGACACCTATTGCTGCAAGAATTGGGCTTCCATGCTTGCTTATCATGCGTGCTTTTATGGGAATTGGCGAGGTTGGTGCTCATTATGCTGCTTCAGAATTTTTTTGTATGCTTTACATAGTTTATGCCTTTATGGTCTATTGGAAAAAAGTGTCCATTGAAACACCTTTTCTCTTGTCTGAAATGCTAATAAACTTTGATTGATTCCTGGCATATGGGGCAAACATTAATCATATAGAAAGTGGCTGAGTCTGCAAACATTTCTTAAATGTCACCACATTCTCTGTAGTCTATACAATATCAATTTAATTAGTATTATATTGTACTTTCCTTTGCAGGGTGTGGCTATGCCTGCTATGAACAACATGCTCTCTAAGTGGATTCCAGTGTCAGAGAGAAGCAGATCACTGGCACTAGTCTACAGTGGCATGTATCTTGGTTCTGTTACTGGGCTTGCTGTCTCTCCTATTCTAATCCACAACTTTGGGTGGCCATCTGTATTCTATTCATTTGGATCCCTTGGGAGCATCTGGTTTGCATTATGGCTAAGAAAGGTGAGAATCATGATATACTATTTCTTTTAGGCTTTTTCCCTTCACTATTGATTAATTTGAAGGTAAGAGAACTTCCTCTTGGTAAATCACCTTATTTGCAATTTGGTTGTGAGATCCAGCACCAGTAGAACAGTCATGTCTAAAGTATACCAAAAAGAATAGTCATGTCTAATTGCTGTGAATGATGTTTCATCTTTGGTCAAAACAAATGAAACAAGCTCTCAATGTCATCATATGATGCTGTCTGTTGTCACTATAACTAAAAATGATTCGATGGCTGACCTTATATATGGAAGTTGGCAAGAGTCTAGTTCTGGACATGGTTATATATAGAAAAAGTAAAGTATGTGAATAACCTTTGATTTAACTCCGTCTTTATTGATTACTTGTCAGGCACATAGCTCACCAAAGGAAGATCCAGAACTTACTGCACAAGAAAAAAGAGTCATCTTGGGTGGCGGCATATCAAAGGAACCCGTATCAGTCATTCCATGGAGATTAATATTATCCAAAGCACCAGTTTGGGCTCTCATAATCTCTCACTTCTGCCATAATTGGGGGACTTTCATTCTTTTGACATGGATGCCTACATACTACAATCAGGTATTTAAACTCATGACATTGGTGATTTTTTATGACTGTTAATCCCCAAAATTTACAAGTTGAGATATTCTTTTGACCTCTATCATAGCAAGAAGCCTAGAACTATGCACCTTTCACAGTTTCATCTACTTCAAATTATGGCAGAACATGAACATTTTCTATTTTCTTTAATTTGAATTTTAAGATGTAAGTATTGAATTGTGTTCTTTTGAATTCTTCTTCATATTTCCAGTTTGAATGGATGAGGAATAATTTTATATCTTTTATGTGCCTCTATATATATGTTGCATTTGCTGTGGCAAGTGGTAACCAATGCCTAAGTTGCCTCTCCTTGCTAGGACTGCCACTGGTTCTGGTGATGGATTGGTTGACTTATTTTATAAGACATTTGATGCTGCAGCATTGTCTCACCTGTTTCCAGAATAGAGTGCAATTAAATTACATTCAAATTTCCACTTCCTTTCACCTTTATGTGTTGTGTATTAGAATTCAAACACTAAAAAGCCAAATGGTAAGAAGTAATCAAGAATAGCATTTTTTTTTTTTTTTTTGATATATTCCACTTCAACCTTGGGTTTTGCCCTCACATGATTCCAAATCCAAGTTTCCATCAGTCACAATCTGGTCAAAAACTGTTAATTTCTTTTTCAGGGCCCAGGCTGTTATCAATCTGACAATCTAACAATTTAAGTTTGGTGGAAAGTATTTCTATTGCCACTATATACCATTTGCATTTGGATTCTGAATCTTTGGAGGTATAATAATGTGAGTGTAGCCTATGCCTATCTCATAAAGTTCATTGTGTTCTCAGGTTTTGAAGTTTAACCTCACTGAGTCTGGGCTCTTCTGTGTCTTGCCATGGTTAACCATGGCCGCTTTTGCAAATCTAGGAGGTTGGATTGCAGACTCACTTGTAAGCAGAGGCCTTTCCATTACGGCAGTTCGTAAGGCAAGGACTAATACTTTTCTAACTGGTACCTAGTTTTAATTATTGATCAGCCATCATATCCTGATAATCATTAACTTCAATATGTCCATACATTTATATTGATACCACTCCATGGCTTTGGTCATGTCTGTATGGGTGCTGCCTTCTAAAGAATTAATGAACTGAATTTCTTTTTACCATTCCTGTCTGAACTTGTTTCAAAAAAAGATGGCTAAACATCTGTTTATTTGGCTAAACTTGATATGGTAAAATAAGTCATGAGTACTGCTTCATCTCTACTTCTCTGAAATAACAATTCTTCGCATCTTCTATATTTGCAGATCATGCAGTCAATAGGTTTTCTGGGTCCAGCCTTCTTTCTCACTCAGTTAAGCCATGTCAGGACTCCTGCTATGGCAGTGTTATGTATGGCTTGCAGTCAGGTAAGATTCTGTTTGATTTCAATCTCACTTGATCTCAGTAAGCCCTCCAAACCTGTTCCTTATTTGCTGTTTCCACATTCAGTCATACCTTGACTGTCAGTACTCAGTTGTAAAGCTCTATATAGTTTATGTTAGATGTAATATATGTGCTGAAAATTCTTTGTATGATCAAATCCTATTCTTCTTCATATCTATAAACAAGTCCAAAGTGTTAAATAAAAAATAAAACATTGTTGCCTAACAATTTCTCATGCATGAGAAATATTTATTTATCAATTTGTATCCACCTTAAAGTGTATTCTACACCTCTAAAATTTGGTTGTTATCCTGTCCTAGTTTAGGATTCCATTCCCATCTTGGTTTGTCAGGTAATTGACCCATATCCTCCTGATATTTTTAAAATCCATAATAAAACAGCATCTAAAGTAGCAAGCAATCAATCAAGCACACTGGTGATCTAACAGCTTGTGAGCAAATGCTTGGGAAGTGTGACAATCACCCGGGGGGAGGGGGGGGCGAAAATTAAGTAGTGCCTCTTATACCATGATAACTAGGTTAGCTGGCTGTATTTCAGTCTTCTGCTATGGTAGAATGAGCAGAATACCCTTTTTATTCCATAGCAACAATCTAGATCTATCACCAACACTCCAACTGCTGCATTCAATAAATGAGATGCTAACTGAGATTGCAAAGCATTTTGTAACTTTCCATTTTGTCAGAATCTGGTAAAGGAATTGACCATGGATTTTTCATTTTTTGTCAGGGCTCTGATGCATTCTCACAATCAGGTCTCTATTCTAATCACCAAGACATTGGCCCACGCTACGCTGTGAGTTATTTGTTACCCTTTTGGCATATAATTTAATTTATATTGGGCATAAACTGCAGGATGCATCACCTATGCTTATTCTCTGCCAAAAAAATTTTTATCCCTTGGTTTGCTTGAGACTTATCATATGTTTACAAATTTAGAATTTTGAAAGCGAACTTCTATAGATACTTGCAAAAGGAAAATGGAAGGGCTTTTGGGGTTCCAGACTAGTAACTATAGCTAAGAATTGGCATTTTACGGTTTTCGGGTAGAGAATTCATTTTCATGGTTATGTATTTTGGCAATTTCCTATAAAAAATTATGATCCATGTCCATGTCAAGCCCCTTATGAGTGTGCTTGTAACGTGAATCACAGGGAGTACTGTTAGGGCTATCAAATACAGCAGGAGTGCTTGCAGGTGTTTTTGGTACGGCCGCAACTGGCTACATACTTCAACGAGGTACAACTAGACCTCTGGTTCATTCTATATGAGCCATTATTTCTCTAGTTAGTTAATTACATATACCTTGAACTCATACTTCCAGGTTCTTGGGACGACGTTTTCAAGGTAGCTGTTGCATTATACATCATAGGCACATTGGTCTGGAACTTCTTCTCAACAGGAGAGAAAGTTCTCGACTAGAAATATGCCAATACCTAACCAAATAGCTTGACCTATTTGAAGAAATGGAAGGAGTTCACATCCAGGAGAGTCAGAGAAGCCCTATGGAACATGGCTAACTGCTGAGGTTAAAGTTTTTGTTACCAAATTCCGAGGTCCTCAATGTACTCCCAACAACATTTGAGCTGGCTATAAAAATGCATTTACATGGCACAATCTACCTTCATTCTATTTCGTCCCTTCACAGTTTTATAATGTATAGATTTATAAGCAATTTGCATCCAAGAAAAATCTTCTTAGCTCCTAGTCTTGTCACTTTAGCCACCAGTCAAATATATTTTTAAAATCACAGCATAATTTAGCAGAAAGATTTGTCCATTGACTAGTTCGCTGAGTCATGCATGCAATATATTTTTAAAAATTAAAGGTTAAATATCCAATTTGATCCCTGAACTGTTGTACGGACCATTGATTTGATCTTTATTATTTACCAATTTGTTCCAAATTAGTTATTTTGTATAAAAAAAAAAAAGTTAACGTGTTTAGTATTTAACGATGAAAAACAGTAACTTAACAGCAGAAAACAGTAATTTAACGGTCACGTATCATATTAATAACGAGACATGTTAGCTGTTTTTGTATAAAAAGACTAATTTAGGGCAAATTGATAAACAATAGGGATCAAATCGTGGTCCGTAGGGATCAAATCGTGGTTCGTATAATAGTTTAAGGATCAAATCAAGGATTCTTTAGTTTAGAGACCAAATCAGGATCTGTACAATAGTTCAAGAACCAAATTGAAGATTTAACCAAAATTAAAAGTCTAATCGTTTGGTGTTTTATAATTGCATCAGAATGTAGAATATTAGTTATTAGATATAAGAGTTCTCTTGTATTATCAAAGGGGTTTTTAAAATTTAATTATTAATTATACACTTTTTTTATTCTCAATTTTTAGTCATCTCAAAAATTCAATTTTATGAAGAATTTTTAATTTTAGACAACAGTCAATAATTTATAAACAATCATTTGATCCTACTTTCTTTTCTTTTTTCTTTTTTCTTTTTTTTTTTTTTAACTTTGGAAAATTTTGAAAAAGGATTAGTAGTATCTAGATATAAAATTTAAAACTTTATATCGAATACTTTCTCTCAAGAGAATAGTCACTAGGTCACTTAATATTGAATATCATTTGATCCTATGATCTAATCTATCTAATGATTGGTATAGACTCTAACCGTGCACCATAAATGCACTGAAATGTTGTTTAAACATTGTAAAGGTGAGTAAAAACAATCATATTTTTTTGGTTTTTGGTAATTTTTTTTATTTAACTGATAACAGGCTCATACATTACATTTTTTCAATATATATTAGAATATATGAGATATAAAATATGATAATTCTCCTTATGTTAATAAATTCCCTTTCCAACTATTCCAAATTATATCAATAAAAGACATTTTCTAGGGAGCATATTATATTTTGATAAAAGGGAAAGAAAATGAGGACGTAGTAGTTTTTAGTGAAATTTTTGATAAAATTAAGTGTATAAGTTCGGGATCAGCTCTTTTTGTTGAAAATTGTAGCTTCATATGTATAATATATAAGTTGATGTTTTGTGTTGGTCGAAGAACGTCATGATCAAAGATGAAGAGTGGATCGACGTCATGAAGATTTAATCAATTAATTCAAGTTGAATTGATCTTTTCTTTCGCGTGTGGGACACTTTCATATATAGATGAACTTATGACAATATATATATATATGTTGTGTTAGAGTGGATAAATCTCCATCAATCCCTAATTATGTTTAAGAACCTCATATTATCGAATGCTCTTTGAATGCTAAGCGCACTCAGCATAACATTTGGAACAGGATTGACCCAAGTGCTTTAATTTAAAAATAAAAAATAAAAAAACTTAAAGCAGCCAATGGAATGAAAGAAAACAGATGGATTCCATCGAAAGTCTGGGGAAACAATTCGAGAAAATTGGTTTGGCTAATTTACGTGGACGGCTGCATAGATGGGGAAGTGGTTGGCTTTTGTATTTTGATTTTTTGACCCATTGTCATTAAAGCCCAAAAAATCAAAAAAAAGGGTAAGCATCAGCTTAAGGTAATGTGTTTCTTGTATCATGAGTGAAAAATTACGTAATTTCCATGCTCTGCTTATTTCATACAAAAGAAAGAAACTCGTAGAATAAGAATCAGACTTTGCAAATGAAAGATGAGCACATTACAGCCTTAGTTTTAGTTTGCGGACTGTCATCTTCTGTACAAATAATTTGACAGAGGGAATTGAAGGCTCCTCGCCACCTGTAAAACATTTGGAAGACAATTATAATGTAAAAGTGGTTTGTTGGTGCATACATATGGAAAGACAAAAAGCTAAAACAACACTCTGGTGCAATTATTTTTCTGATGCTATATATATCAAGAGATTACCTTCAGAGCCAGATTTTCAGACACTGTTGAACGATACGTTGTTGACCCTTCTGATGGGCAGCTTCCACCTTTGATGATAAAGTTGGCATTGCATAGACTGGATAATTGCAAGAGAACATCAGACATCAGTCCACTACCCCGTCTTCCTCCGCTTCTTTGCTCATCGTTTCCTTCTTCTTCGTCGGGTGATTCTTCTAGTGAAGATGTTCTGCACCGAAATATGGCTAAGAACCTCTCTAATGGGAAAGTTCCAGGCCCTTTTATAAGTTATTCCTGTTCTTCAATTTCCTCCTGCTCCATTGATTTTACAGAGGCCCTGTATTGAAAAGAGTCAATTGACAGTATTGAATTAGAATTAATTAATGGAGCAAGAAGCAAATAGAAGGTGAAACAAAATGTTATACATGCATACTTAAGTGCTTTGAGCTATGAAACCATTACCACCATTATGTGATAAAATGATTCAGCTTTCCCAAATAACTAAAGAAACGGAGTTTTTTTAATATCAACATCAGTCCAATAGCTGTGCTGCAGACATTGCTAAATTATGATACCATGGCATCTATCCTAGAATAAGATGAGCACATAAATAAGATACAGCAGGCTTCAAAATCTCTACTTCCATCATAACTCAGGAACATTCCTTAATAATGGAGACGCAATGGCAATGCAAAAATCTTTGTTGAGGTGTATCCATGTGAGGAAGAGACAGTATATATAGAATCCTTATACATTCCAGGTACTGAAATGCTGCATAAATTTGGGATTAGATTATTGATGTACTTACTTCCTTTTCCTTTTACGGTTGTTAGAACCTCCAGTTGAATCAAATATCGAATCAAGAGTTGCTGGTTCCTTGAAGCAAGGAAAGCTGAAATAAGAAGATTTTGCAGAGAAATCTGTCTTATCAAAACCTTCTTGGCTCCCAGAACTTTTCGTACTACATTTTCGCATTGTCTCCTTGTTGGATTCATCTTTAAAAGAAGGCTGAGATTGAACCCTGAATGTCTCATTCAATGAGGGAGCAATATGTTGCTGAAAATAACCAAACAACCTTCTCCTCATCTCTTTCATCCGGTACAACACCCGTATTGCTTAATTAAGGGTTAACAATACTTCTCAAACAATGATGAAAAGGCTGTAACTCTACAGAAAGGTTTCAGTAAAATGCTGTTCCACAAGTAAAAACAGCAATCATTATTTTAACCATATATACAAAAACTTCATGTGGCTAGTTAAGCACTGAGAAAAGGCAACTTCAACTCTTTGTTACTTACCCAAGAAAGGAGGAATAGAGCTTGGGGTTTGCTGGATTCTTCATAAAAATTCGAGAGAGATCATCTTCTGTATAGTCAGGAAAGTATACAGGGACAGGTTCTTTGTAACCCATACTGAGTAATAAGTTTCAGGCGAGGAATTGCTGACAAAGATCAGTCCCACCTCAGGCATCTTTAAAATGTCATGGAGATTAAATAAAAATGGTAAAATAGTAGAACTTTTATCCCATTCTCGGGCAAGTTCCAGATTAAAAAGAAAACCAAGTAAACCATGCTTCCATTAGGCCGTTCCTGACACTCAGTGGAGTTCAATTTCAATTTCCCAGAAATCCCCTTTAAGACTTTCGATGACATTTGCCACTTTGCGAAGAAAGTTAACGAAATCATATGGCTTGTCACAGCAATTAGCACTAGAATAACCATTGCCTGCACTTTTCTCATGAAGCAATTACTGGTTCAAGACGGTTTCAAACAAAATCCTAGCGTTGTAACACGCAACGCAGCTTGAATACACAAAAGGGCGTGTCAGATGCTTGAATACCTGGAGAATGATGCTGGTTTTCCCAGTAGAAGCTCCTCCATAGATAAAGATAGGGAACATTGGGGAATTCAAAGGACCCAAGAGGCGCAAAATCTCAAAAATCTGCGTGCGCCTCCCCGGAAAGCTAGATAAAAGATCATCAAGGCTAAGACTTTCTTCTTGGAACCCAAGGTCATTAACAGGTGGCTTGCATGGGTCACTGGTTTTTGTTGATTCAACGGCATCGTTGGAAGCCAAGCTGCAGCAGGGTTGGAGGATCTGGTTGTTCTTTTAGAAACTTGGAGGCTTTCTTCTTCAGCTATAATTACTCCACTGAAAAACAAAGAAAACGCCATTGAGAAAACAAGGAGCCATATTTTACTCGTCACTTGGTTCGATCACATATTGGCTCGATTTTCAACCATAGGGAAGGAAGGAAATTTCTTTTTCTGCTTTTAGTAACCAAGAAAGGATCCAAAATGTAGAGAGCAAAATAAAAAGAAGGTGAAAAATGAAAAGAAAATAAGTGCCCGTCGAGCCGTCGATTGAAATTGAAAACTCTAGCAAAGTGGTTTCCGTGAGAACGTGGGAAAAATTTCCCGCCAAATAAATTTATTAGGTTGCTAGAGACATTCCCATAAAAATTCATTGTTTTGCAACACCTAATGCATAAAATAGAAACTATTAGATTATAGGAAAATGATATTTATACAATTTTTTTGTTTCACTTTCTCTTTTTTTTTTGTACAACTGAACCTATCATTAAAATGATTGATTTTTTTAATTTATGTGAAATTCGTAATATTGAATATATCAATTCATTTAATGATATGTAAAAATTGTATAAAAATGTAAAACAAAAAAATTATCCCAATAACACCACCCTAGATTATTATTAGATAGGAAAAGAGGTTCTAAATAATAAGAACATATACATTTTTAATAATTAAAATTATGTAATTTAAAACAATTCATTCTATGCAATACTTTTTCTTAAGTATGATTCCTATATCACCGAAGTGTGAGGTCAAGGTGCAAGTTAAAGGGCGCTTTTTTGGGCACGTACACTTTTGGGATTTGAAGAATAAATAAGCACCAAGAAAAAGAAAAGGCATATATAGGAATTTAAATATCCAAATTGAATAAGATAAACATCATGCTTCGGCCACATAATTAGAGGGATAGGTGTGCCAAGACAATGAGGTTGACACAGAAAAGTTGCATCCATCGCAGGAGAGATGATAGAAACGCAAAATCACATAAAACTCACAAAATGTAACCTAATCACTAGATAAATATAAGTAAACCACACAACGTCATATTAACAACCCAAAATCAATCTCTCTACTTTTTCATCATCATCTTAACAATCATTAGAGGCTCTGCCTTTCACAGAAGAACCACGGCGGTGGCCACCCACAGTAACATTTTTAATTCAGGATATGAGACCCAGCATACGACTGTTCTGCCAAGGAGAATGAAACGAATCAGAATCAGTAGGGAGAACAACATACTAAAGAACTTAAGCGTACTTATTCCAAAGAAAGAATAAAGGGCACGGGAGATAGACAAAATTGCTACTTCTGTGGTAAAAAGTCAACAGCCAGCACATTACTGCACCAATATACAATCCTAATTGGACTCATACATCAATTCATAACTTCAGGTTTCATATAAAACAGTAAGCACTAGCCACCAGGCTGATAGTAATACCAATGAGGACAACAAGGTGAGAATGCACTAAAATGCTGAATGACTTATTTAATAAGCTTATGTAAAAGTATTAGGTTTAGGTCTGGGTTCAACAGTAAGCTTCAATCAATTGCATATGGATATAATCATCCGTGTACTTAAAGTTTAGGAAAATAAACAAAAATTACACGAAAGCTATGTAACACTTAAATGAAAAATTAAGCTTGACACTAGATAAATTTGACATCCATGTTCATAAATGCGACTAAGTTATCCAAAAGCTATGAGTACAGGTTTGAGATTCCAGAAGTTGAGAAACAATTGCAGTTGTCCAGAACTCACAACCAGTGTCTTCTTCGTACATTGCATTTACAAGTCCATTGCTTATTATTATTATTATTATTATTTTTCATCCTAGTCTTCAAATTTTTAAAATGAGTCTATGAACTCTTTGGCTGATGACTTCAAACCCATCATCAAGATCAAGATACTTCAGTGAGATGGATGAAGAGATCCACATAGCATCAAAGTATTAACATGCATGCATAACATATCCAATAAACAGGTACAATTCTGCATTGAGGCCATCATTCAGAAGTTTCCAAGCAAAAATTATGCTATAGTGTCTTACTTTTTTGTAGCTTGAAGTGATAACCATAGTAGCAATAATGTAAATATTAGGATATCCCATTCAAGAAGCAACTGTGATGCCCATGAAACAAACACTTTGAAAAATAAATAACTGCAGATCATGCTAAGCATAACTGAGTTTATCTCTGGTGATTATCAGCATACCTCATTTTTGTATGCTCTGCCGCCACTTAAGTTGCAATGCTTGCCACCTCTCTTGATGCAATCGCTGCCCAAGAATTACAAGGCCCATTACTGCTGCTGCGATAAAAATGGACCAAAAAGTGTTTGCCTCTTTTGCATGGGCATATAATGATACCACCCTTCGCTTCCACCAGGCTTCACAGGGGAGGTTAGGATCAGAATGTTTATCATCCTGTCCAGTCAGTGGTGCACCAGATATATCTGCAGGGAAACCTACGCCTTGCTCAAAAGTTTCAGTTATTTCAGCAGCAGCTGTATTCTCAATGTATGTGGTTGATTTACCAAGTTCAGCCTCACTGTCATATGCACTATATAAACTCTGTTCCTTACCAGTCAAATTTAACCCTTGCAGGGTTGTACCTTCTTCAAATTCAGTGGCATTAATAGGAAGTCTGTTACCCTTCTCATCATACAATTGCATCCCTGTATACTCATCAGGTACATTCAACCCTTTCAAATCCCAATCTTCTACATCCTTTCCACTCGACCTGCTCCCTTCTTGCACACTGAACTCTGTTGCTGCATCCTTCCCCACATTTTCATCATGAATCACACTTTTATCAGGTTTGAAAGACTCCAGAGGCTCCAAAGGCAGATTCTCATGCTCACTAGGAGGGAAGACAAAATGGCCAGACATGAACAAAGCACGAGAAATTTCATCCTCACCATGCGTATCTCGTTCTTTATCATCTTTTGATTCAACTTCTCTTGGACCAGGAGCAGCAGCATATGTTGATGCAGTGAGTGAAACCACTTCCCATTCATTCCCACGAGAGGTATTTTCCTCATGTAATTCATTTCCCCGGGAGGAATTTTCCTCTCCCTCCTTGTTATCTGACATCCTTAGTCGTTATTAACAACACCTAGAGTTCACAGACATTGAAATATTGAATCCATTAATCATCCAAAAATCTATAAAAATTTACTTCCATTTTAAACAGGCACTTGAGGGTTGGGGAACAGCAATAAAACATTGGATTCACTGAGATGGAGGTCAATCAATAACCAACAAAAAAAGGTAAAATAAATCACCTTTCTCTAAACCCAATTGAAAACACCAAAAACCAAAACTTTACAAATTAAATGTCACCACAAATTGAACAAAGAAAATAAGAGTTAATTAAGCCACTAACATGCAGTTATTGATACGTTCATCCCAATTCCGAAACAATTGACTCCTAGTAAAACTGCTTTTGAGAAACTTTATCCAGGCTAAGCAATCGGTTGAAACAAAAGCCAGAATCACTCTATAAATTACATATGAATTGAATTAACATATTCACCAAATTTTCTAGATAATTAGAAACAAAACCGAATTACACAAGACATCAAAGGGTCAATCAATCTAGTCAAGATCAGCAGAAACCAACACACACCACAAATAGCATATCAACGATCCCATGATCCTACGCCGATTTATCAACAAAATCATATCCGTTCCACATATCAGGACAAAATCGAAACAACCCCGATTTCTCAGAGAGACAATTGTACAGCAATAATACTCACCAGAGGAGTAACCAGACGAGATCTGCAGCCAGAGAATCGATCGGAAACGGAAGGGCGAAGAGTATTCCGATGGAGGTTGTGGTAAAACCTCGGAAAACGCAGAGAAAAATAAGGCTTTTGTTTATCAAAGCAAAGATTCTCGGTGGGTGAGAGATGATGTGACCGGCCGTACCGGTCTTTTTGTTCCGGTAACGGGGTGTGGCCGGTAAAGATGACGCAGCTGATGATATCTCTTCACCGCCTCAATCCGTCAATCGTCATTCACGATGACCCGGCACGGAGTCATTGATTAATATTTTTACCAAAATCACGAAATGATAAGAGTTTTCAATCTTCCAATTTAAATAGTTTAAAATGTTCGAATTATAAATCAATAGCTATTAAATAATAGCACATCCCTGTTTAATATGAAAATTGGCA